CAGCAGGAGGAGGATTAGAAGCAACGCTACTTTTAATATTTTTGAGATCGGGAATAGTTTCTGGAAAGGAAACCAAAATGATCATGGAACTGCAACAACCATTAGAGAAAGAACAGCCTTGACTTTACATTTACGCATGTAAATCTGTAGGTGTTTATCTATGGCTTGCTCCATTCAGCCCCTTTGCAGTTGCCAGAAAAGCCCTGCTTTCCAGCTGCATATCTAGTTTTATCATTATGCGCTATTTTTGGCTACCGAGTACATTTCAAGTAACGTCATCCTTCCCAAGCCAACACTGGTATGAAGGGTGGAAACTCGTCTTTCCACTCCTCTCCGTCATTTGCTGCTGCATCCGCCGGCTCTGTGGCACTGCCTGCTCTCTCCTTGCTGCAGAGGGATCTCCAGATGCTTTTCTCTGGTCTTCCCCGTTTCCTTGAGCAAGTCACTTTCCAACTGAAGCTTCATGTGGGAGGCTTCATGTTGGCATCCAGAGTACATGTCCCAAATATGTCCAGCCCCACCTTCCGATTCTAGCACAGAGGAGCTCTCGGTAAGTAATCTCATGATGGGTGATAGAGTCCTTCTTTCCAACGTTCAGAGCTTTTCACAGGTGTGTTGTTTTTAAGGGCATATAATTTCCTGACTAATACTTTAGTAGATTTCCAGCTCTTGCCACAGTATGCTAACACTGGGCTTCTGTCTGAGGGTAAAATGCATGGTTTTGTTTTGACACTGTGTAGCTTTGATTGTCCTGTTGTTAAGTCTGGTAAATATTGCAAATGCCACTTCATTCTTAAGGGGTTCCCTGGCTACATGCTACCCAACCAGCTAATTTTTTAACATTTTACTGTTAAACGGTAACATTTAACATGTTACTGTTAGATGTTTGATAAAGCTTATATGGACAACAGCAGCTTGCGAAGTTACAAATCCTTTCAGATATAAGGTTTAGTTTCCTTTTCTGTGCCACCGGACCAGCCCTCCCAGCAAAATCTCGAACCATTGCTAGTCTGAGCTGGGCATCTTCCGTTCTGTCTCCCTGAAGCTGTTTCACTTTACACAGAATAATTAAATATTCATTGGGCCAGAAAGTGTTGTATGTGCCTGGCTATAGCAGAGTGCTTAGGGCACTCACCTGGTAGAAGACAGACCCTGTTCCCAGTGCCTGCTCCAATGAATAATTAAGTCTTTCATATTAAGTATTCATTGAAACAAAGACAGGAGCAGACCTCTCCCACCGCCAATGAGCAGGCTGTAAAGTCTTTCTTTCATTCTTTGGCCCAATGAATATTTAATTATTCCATGCCAAACTGGTTTCTGTGGGAGAGACTGGGATTCCTTACTCCTGCTTCTGCCCCATGGCTCCGATGATGAAGCTGTGCTCATAGGAGAGGTGGGTTCACATTCCCTTGGACTCAGAAAGAAGTTAAATCCAGGCCCCCCAAACCTTGGAGGGATCTTCTAATTCCTGAGCTGTGGATGAAAAGCACAGAGCTCCACCGTGCTGCCCCCAGACCACAATACTGAAGTGGTATCAGTGCTTCTCTGATCTGGGTTCAGAAAAGCGTCCTTCTAAGTGATGAGTTAGGCCAAAATTTGTCTTCTGAATCTCTCAGGAGCAGGTATCAAATCTGAAGGCACTCTCCACTCCATAGCAGGTCCTTCTGGCTATGTTATACGGCTTCCTGCTCAGTGGGTCACCTGCTGTGGATGCCATTTTTAAGCATATAATTCTCTCATGAATCGTGTAGGAACCCCAGACATCCGACTGAAAATCACACTGGCAGGCTGGATCTGCCCAGCAGTGTCCCCACTAAATCCCCTTCTGGATTCAGCTGGTCATGATCTCTCTTCCGCGGTCCATGTGTGGTGAGCCTTGGTTCAGCTGAGGTGCTAATCAGTGAGGGCAGAAGGTGACGCTCAGGGAAACCTGCTTATTGTCTCCGCTCTGGGGTCTGCCACCCCCGAGACTGTAGGCAACGTGACTCAATCCTGCCCCTGTGGCCCAGGGAGCACCTGTGTGAATGGGTGAGCGCAAGGGTACTTACTATCTGAAGAGAAAAGATGTAGTGCAAGGACATATGCTCTTTCTACTGAGCAGTAGAAAGATTAAAGCAGGAAGAAAACCATGGAGGAAGGAGTGTGCAATCACTGGCTGGGGAAGAGGCACGTAAGAAGAAAGAGAAACAGGGATGTAGCAGAAGAAGGGAAGGAAGAGGGGAAAGAGGGCTGGAGAAGATGACTTTGATCTTAAAGTAAAAATAAAATGTGGAGAATCTCTGCCACCCACTTAGGCCTTTGAAAAGTAGAGAACTTCCCATCTGCTGCTCCTCTTTCTGATGACAGTGGGTGTCTCTGAATCGAGATGCTATGGATTCACTTTGGGGTGTTGACTCTGGGAGCATTCCTACACAGAAGAGGGATTTATTACTGTTATTACAGCTCTGTTTTTTTGTCATTTGGCAGAATCTGCAGCAATCCAATTTCATAATCAAAGACTGAGTGTTGCTTCTAAGCAAAAATCAAACCAACAACATAATTAGGATATCAAAGTGCAAACGAATTACCTTCTCTCACCCATCATAATAATGTCCAAACACAAGACTGCTGCATAGTTACAGCTGTTGAAATGATAACACCATCGTTCAGGATGGGGCTGCTTAGCTCAGGAGGATATTTGGAAAGTGCTCCCAATAGTATGAATCGTATGTTTCATATCACATTTATGTTCTTCTGTCCCAGTCTGTTGAGTAGCCACCTTCAATGACTGTTCACTCCAATTTAGAGAAATCCCTTCTGAACACCTTTCTGACCTTACTTTAACAAAGCATTTTCCTGAGAAAGCAGCTTTAGAGTACTAAAGAGCTAGGACAATATTGAATTGCTATCAATAATACAGTGATTTGACTATAAATGTCCTAACAGCGTGTTTCATATCACGACTTTTGAGGGACATAGGAAAAATATAGCCACAAAAGTTCAAAACTTTACCTAGATCCATTACCCCAGTTCAAACGGCAACATTTTGTGTTTTAATCAACTCCTTAGACAGATGATAGTAGCTGTCCTCCTTCGATACTGAGGAAAAGGCCACCTGTGGATCAAGCTGTGGGGGAAAAGCGAAAAGCAGAGAGAAGAGTTCGATTTCGGGAGCCAGAAGAAGTCATTGAACATGGTACGTTCAAGCTACCAAGCCTTCTTGCATGACCTTTCTAGTTCCTAACAGTCACCCTGTCTGTCCCCATTAGCCTCCCCCTCCACCAACGTTATTTGTTGCCCTGTGCTTGGCACAGACCAGAACGGCTGGAGGGACAGACACCTTTTGTGCCATGCTTTGCAGAAGTCCTTCTGATCCACTTGCCTGCCTGCCCGGGGAAAATTCAGAGGGTCCTTGAATAAGTTAGAGCAGCCCCAGGTCTATTATTACTGTGACCTCCCGGATTAGCCTCCGCAGGGAGCATTGCAGCACATGGGTTTGACTGAGCTCTCTTGTTATGTCCTTCTCTGCCCCAAATCTACTCCCGAACACTGCTTTCATTCAGACCAAATTTAAATGTGCTCATGCCAATCTGGGTAACTGGGATGTAATACCAGAGGAGGGAGCCGGCCCTTTCTTATTGCACATTTCTGAGCAGCATGCCAATTAACAAAACACCAAAGGGATGCCTGAGCCTAGACGGCCCACTGGGGTTAAAAACAGCCAAGTTATAACCATTTCTGTCAATGAGAGCACACAAGGAATAAAATAGCTAACCTAACCTCTGGTCTCTAATGCATGAACCATAATAAGCAGTTTGCAGGTAGGTCAACTGGGAGTGACCTTAAGCAGAAGTCTAGCACAAAGGATCTAATTTGCACTTCTGTACATGGCTATACTCAGTCCACAATCTAATAAGGACTATCATATTACTCTGACTTTCACAGACTGGCCCAACTAAGAAAAAATATATTTTTTGCTAGGGAACTAACACTCTGTGTTTTTGATATGCCAGTCAGTAAAAACACAGGTGACAGGATGGCACAATTGCTATGTCAGCCACATGTTTAGACTACAGATTCAGCTTGGCACCCGCCACTATGTCTGTATACAGACCTTGCGTTGGTTTTGCAATATGCTGTTTCTGGTGCCTTCTAATGCAGCAGTGAAACACTCTTCTTGATAAGGGCATGGCCTGGGCTTTCCAGTCAAAACTGAATTCGTGGAAAGGCTCAGAGAGGAGGCCTAAAACTCTTGCAGGCCTGTTTAACCGCTCAAGAGAAGGATTTTGACAAGCTGCTACTCATCCCCCCGCTCACTGCCAGAGTCTGCAGGCACATCAGCATCGGTAACTCTGCAGTCAGTACAGCTCGGGGGGACCTGGTTCGTCTCCCACTGACGTCGACTTCAACACAGTTATGCTCGAGTCACACCGAACTGCAAGGAGGGAGAAGACTCGGACTTTGTTTATTCCATTAAGACATGAAAAATGTCCAAATCTATAATTAATATTTTTATTACAAACACCCTGTGACTTAGAAGACTTGCTGTTTGTCCATACAATACAGCAGTATTAACACAGAGGCTGGGCAGGGGAAGGTTGCTGGCACCACTGAAAATTTTCCATTCCCTGGAGTTTTCATCCTGGATTGCATCTGGGCCCCAGCTGCCAAGCAGAGGCAATTCCAGGACATTGTTGGATGAAGGTTGTATTTTATAGTGGGATTTGTTTTCTAAACTTAATTTTTGTCTCAGCCTGCTGGTCTATCTCATTTCCCTTCTAGAAACGACTCAGAATAAGAAGCTGCTTTTTTTTTTTTTGTGTGTGTGTGAGAGGTAGCCAACTCCCGATCTCCCTGTAGCAAAAGGACTCATACACTCATATAGCAATTGTTCCTCACTTCCCTGAAGTGCACCTACATTCACATGTTTGCATGGAGTGGTGAAATCCTCATCTGGCATAAACCTCTGCATGCATGTGGCATAAAATCTGGTGAGAAGTGGCCCAGTGTCTGTTAAGTCAATAGGCAGCTTCAGGGATAGCACACACCACGTCTGCTTGCTTTCCTATTCACCTGCTGCACGGCGGCCTTTCCAGGCATGTAGTAACATTTTCATTCTGTTTTCTAGCCATTTCCTGCTGTGACTATGTAGTGGGTAAGTTGAAGTTTCACTTTACAACTCTGAGCTCTCCATGGCACTAACCTGAGGTTGCTTTGTGGCTGCGGGGGTGCATTGTGCAAATACACCCTCTAAATACGAACCATTTCACGCGGTCATGGGTGGTTGTTTTTTCTTTTTTGGCACATGAAGCACAAGGTGCTGATGAGGTCTGGTAGGGTATTTTAAACACAACATTTAGCAAGACAAATAGTGGAAGCAAAAATTAAATCCCTGAAGCTATTTTTAATTTAAAGACAATTAATATTTTTATGGCAATAAAATAGGTACAGGTTTTTCCGCTAAGATATGCAGGGAAAGCACCCCAAGCGAAACAGGAGTGCTCCCTGCTGATTTTCGCGTGTGGAGAATAGACAATTCATTTGTATGCTGGCAGCAGGGTAGAAATAATAAAAATAATGTTTCTTCTTTTTGTTTGCAAGGATATTTGAGGCCAACTAGCCTCACAGACCCTCAAGGAAATGTGTGTATCTGGATGTCATTACTATGATCATTTCCAGAGGCCCCAGCCAGCCTCCAGGCCCTACTGTATGCAGTGCAGTAAGAGGGAAGGCGGTACATATATATGTCTACACACACACACACACAGAGCCACAGTTAGCTTTACTGCTAACGATTTGCCTCAAATGACAGTGAAAATGCATAGCCAGGGCAGGAACTAAAGAAAAATCTTGTGTATCCCAGTCAAGTGCCTGTCCTACAGATGAGCTGTCGTCTTAGTCTAGGCACTTGCCTAGGGCTGTGTCCTGCTCTAACAACTGTTCTAACAGTTTAACTAGCAAGTTTAATCGATTTTGTATTTTAAATTTAGAAAAGATCATGATTGCATTTGAGATTGACCAGAAATTTCACATGGGTAGTAACATCCGTGAGACGGAAAAAAGTCATAAGCATTTAATAGAAAAGGGCTGATGCTGAAAGCTGTTCAGCGTTCACAGAAGACCTGCTGTATTACAAGATATGCTTATCAGACAGGCCTTGCTTTTTGAAAGGCAGATAGCCACCCAGTTGAGAACCATAAGCCCTATCAGGTGGTCTGTGAGGTTGCAAAGGGGAAACATCTATTTCCAAATCACAAATTTCTGCAAACGTAAAAAGTGGTAAGTGGTTCCCTGGCTAAGTACCTTCACATAAACCATTCATAGAATAATTCCAAAAAAACAAATTTATAAAAATTGAAGTCTGCTCATGGATAATTTGCAAACAGAGAGAAGAGCTTAAATTCAAATGAATAAATTATTTGCTGCGAATAATTCACTCAGCTCTATTATGGGACATTGATTTGGTTTCTGGTTAGCGCTAAAATGACTGCCTATTAGCATTCTACCTTTTCCCCATACACTTTTTGATACATTATTATGTGTTTGTTGCTTGGTTTTATGACTTCTGCCTTCTTCTCTGTACATCTGTATGACAGTTTAATTGACTGCTGTGTATTGCAAGGCTGGTAATAGCAGCTAATTTAAATATGTTACAGCTAATGTTGACCCTTTACCCATAATAATACACGCTGCACTTTTATCTTCTTATTGATTATATGCATATGGGAGGAAAATAGCTGCACGCTACGGGTTTTTATTTGGGCATGAATTTGACTTTATACTGCACATTTAACACACAAAGCGCATTAAAAATAATACTGATCGTGCAACGACCACGCAGTCGAGGAGAGCAGCCGTTACGCTCTCTGGGGCGGCTGGCAGGGAGCGAGAGCACGAGCAACCCAGAGCGGGGAGTCCGTGGCTCGGGGACCAGCCTGCGAGCAGCGCGGGCCCCCAAGAAGGTCCCACCGCTTCGGTGTCAGGGAGAACTGCTGCCCTGGGTGCTGCCGGAGGGAAGCCACCCTCCCGCCTCCCATGCGTCATGCGGTGCTCAGGACACCAGACCTTGTTCTCCGAGACCGAGCAGGGTCGTATCGAGGGCATCAATCTCTTCCCATCACGGAAGGGGACCAGCCTGCGAGCAGCGCGGGCCCCCAAGAAGGTCCCACCGCTTCGGTGTCAGGGAGAACTGCTGCCCTGGGTGCTGCCGGAGGGAAGCCACCCTCCCGCCTCCCATGCGTCATGCGGTGCTCAGGACACCAGACCTTGTTCTCCGAGACCGAGCAGGGTCGTATCGAGGGCATCAATCTCTTCCCATCACGGAAGCAGTCTGCAGGTAGCCCCAAATTGCTCAGGTTAGCTGAGAGGGGAGGGGAGGCTTTAAAGTGGCCAAATCTCTGTCTGGAGTCGCTTCTCAGAGCTGCATGGGTGTTGGAGAGCTAAACATAGCCCATTGATTTACGCACTTGTACTATGCCTGGCCTAGGGCACTTTAAACATCCTTGAATTATATTTTTACAGGCCAGAAAAAATGTTTACAATGCTCTGCTGCTTAAGAGCAAGTGCTGAGGACGTTCCAGTGTAATTAGCACACCTAGCACTTAGAGAGAGGTTAAACCTGCCAGGGCTTTCTAAATATGCCTCTTGGTTAATAGATTCTCGCCTTGGTTCTTACTATAATTAGCGGGGGCCCAGAACAAGCTGAGTTACGAGGGAAAAGGACAGAAATCTACATCTCTCTTTATGGAACATTTGTGAGCATTAAATAATTAGATGTGGTTGCTTAATATCCTCCTAGTATTTAACCTAACATTTAGCTTAAATGTATAAAAAATAATTGCTGAAAGGAAATTTGAGATTATGCATTAGCTATGGTAATCCTGTTCTTATTGTATATAATTAAACTCTTGTAATGCTCCATTAGATGAGATCTTTTATATTCACCACCCTCCATCGGGAGGTGTGACTCACTATCACTTAACTGATGCCTACAGAAGTTTTCACAAGCAGAACCCTCTGTATCCTGCTGTTCCCAGAAAAGCAGGACAAAGGCATCAGCAGGGGGTCAAATTCAGGAAGTGTTTAAGGTGACACTAAAATAATAGTGCTTTCTTTTTCCTCCCTAACCCCTTTCAGTACATGACAGGTCATCATCTGGATTGCCTGTGTTCCTGTGGCTTTCATTTTGTGTAGTGCTGATCCTGGCTGTGAGTCTCTACTACACCAGCATGAAGCAAGATTTCAAAGTCCTGGAAGAATTTCAATCCCGACTTGTTTTCTTCTTTCTTCAGATAAGACACATTGCTCAGAAATGCTGGACTTGGTTTACGAGGCAATAGTAATGTTCTCTGACTGCAGCGGGCCTGACAAACGTCCGAGATCTGCTAACTGGCGCACAGCCATAAAAAGCTCCCGGTCCACTCCAGCCATATGTCAGGGAACACATGAGCATCCACCTTGAAGAACATAAACCACCCCTGTTGTGCACTTCCCAGAGCCACTTGTTCTCCTTTCTCGTTTGTCATTATATTGTGGCCACATTAGCAACTAGAGGTCCCACCAAACTTGGCCTTCATTGTCCTGGACAGTGAACAAGTATCTTAACTTTGTCCCCCAAACGGGTTACAAACTGTAGATCTGAGGAGTAGAAGCTGATAGAGAAATTCATTTCTCTGTGCAGGAAGCAGCAAGCTCTGAATATAAGTCTCCCAAAGTCTCAAGTCAAGGCATTACCTACCAAACCACCTTTCTCCTCAAGTCTCCTAAGAGCAATTCTGCAAAAGTTAAAGTAAAGCTGAACTATTGCACAGACACTACTCCTGTGGCCAAAGGCTTGGCAAGTTTGCTGTATTTATACACCTATGAAACGATTGTTAGTAAAATCCTGGCAAATGGCTTTCTTGTTTCCTTTCATGCATTTTTGCCTGCATGGGCAAAAACTGTTTCTTGATGTTTCACTTGACTCCCAGGTGTGAAAAAGAGCATGAAAACTCATTTAAATGGTAAATAGTGTATTTGCCTAATATCATGCACAACAGCCTTGAATCCCAGGTTAGTTATCAAATCAGTAGTTTAATTCTCTGTGTTTGATTCAGTTCATAAAGCCCATGAGCTGAGCTTACAAGGTCTCTGACAGCGCTTATACTCAGACAGAGATTATGCATTTACTCCTGTGTGTTCAAGGCCTTATATAATGCTAGTACAGACTGTTTATGAAGAAGTGGGGGATACAGCTCTACTATCCTTCTGTTATCATACCATAGTGTGCACTTCTCCAAAGGGAATCATTTTAATGAAGCTCATGCAATAAATGTGGAACATCACCCTGCATATCTGAGAGGAGAGCAAGCGTGTGCAAGCTTACGAGCACCAGCTTTCCCAGTTTTATTTTCTTCCTTGGCAAAAATAGCATCATCAGCTTTTTAGATCCTAAATTCTTTTCAAGTGACATTAAAGAAATGCATATGATGCCTGCTTAGTTTTATTCACTATGATAAGGACAACATCAAAACTTGTAAAAGCTGAAGAAAATAAAAAAAAAAGAGAGAAAACACTGCAGAGAAGATGGAGGTGATGTTTGCAAGGCTACGTCTTGAACTCTCCTACCATTGCAACCCGTCAAAAAGAAGAAAATCTGGTGCTTTATTTTTAATTGACTTTAAAAAAAGAGGGCAACAGCTCTCTGCCATAGCAGAGCTTGCTGTCCCAAGCAGCCCACAGACTTCAACTAGGCAAAGGACAAAATAGGAGCAAAATACACGGTCTTTGCTCAAGAGGAAGGTGGGCAGGAATCTGATTGCAAATGGATCCAAAAAGCTGCAGTGTCAGAGATGGAAAGGGGTCACTTCAGGGGCTATTCTCACGATCTTTCTGAGATGTCACAGACCCACAGGAATCGCATACGACAAGCTGCCAGTTTGGGAACCAGAGGTTGCTGCAGCAAGTGTGTTTAGCTCAGTGACTCTTTGCACAAACCCATCATGTACCCCGAGCTTCCAGGGTAAGTTCCACCACTGCTTCCCTTCCCTCTCTCCCTCATCTCAGCCCTGCTTTTTAGATAATAAAGAAGAAATATTTTAAACTTGTGTGCTGGTGTCTCTCTGATGGAAAAATGTGGAATGGTATATTTATGGGGCAAGTGGGTCACTAAAACTTTTATTTGAATTGTTTACTGTTTATGATCTTTTTAATGTGTATGCCTTTAACCCTTTGGCAAGTCAGCAGGCTTCCTTTTTTGGATCTGGACTGACACATCTGTAGCTAGCACGTTCAATACAGGAGCCTTTTTTTGAAGGGACAGTGCACTCCCTGAAACTCATTGCATATTATAACAAGTAAGCAAAGCCTGGACTGACAAGAACTCAGCCAATGGGTTCAGATGAAATGAGATCTTCTCTTAGAGCTGTGAAGGAAGATGAGGATACACTTTGAAATCCGTGTGAAGGTTCACCTTCCTGCACTACTCACCAAGAGGTGGACATTGGGACCACCTTTCCTCAGGCCTAGTTTAAACAGAAAATGGCCACATTCACCTTGCCAGGGCCTGGGTTTATCAGCGTGAGTGAGGCACACTGTGAGAAAGGCTATTGCAGCAGGGCTGTCAGGGAAATTAAACAGAGGAACAGCTATTCTTGGCTTCTGCCGAGGCTCTGATTGGGACGGTGTTGGACATTGGCAAAAGCAGCACTTGAGTTGTCTGCTGAGTTTAGGCCACAGCCTTGCAAGGTCTCCTGAGTCAGGACTGTTTGCTGCAGATAGTCAGATAGATGGCAGATTGCAGAAAGCCGAAACAAATTCAATTCAAAGCATGACCAGAATGCTTGAAATAAATAAAAGCTTAACCCTATCCCTGGTATTTTGCAGATGAAGAAATTGAAGCTGAGAAAACCTATGGTGAATGAAGTAAGTCAGTAACAAGGCTGGGAATAGGACTAAAAATCCTGACTCCTGGATGCTCATTTAATTGGTGGAGAACACCTTCACTGCAGACTTTATTTTCTCCTCACATTGAAGCTCCTGCTGGAACCATTCATTCGCCTTCTTACACACACACACACACACACACAAACACACACACACACACACACACACACACCCTTTCTCAGCTCCTTTTGCCACTCTGCCTTATCTTTCTATTCTTTTTCCTATACCAGATCTATTTCCATGGCTGTGTGAGCTGGACAAGGTTTCTCCTTAGTCTTGTTCAATGCTGTTTTTCCATGTGTGACGCCTTTAAGAGTCCATGTGGAAGAGCTAAGAGGAGCTCTAAAGCTACATGAAATGGGCCATATTGGGTAATATTTCGCTTCAGTACAACTCCAGAGAATTGCCCATAAAGAGGAACAAAGGGGAGGGAGTATATAATTTGTTAACAGTCAGGATGATCACACGAATTTAATATGGTGCCAGGGTGGTGTATCCCTTTAGAAACCAGGAGACCTGAAGCTAATCAGATCTGAGCAATTATTTAATCTGACTTGGAAATGGTCAGGATTATGCTTTAAAGGATGGAAAGATAAGTGACGGAGGACAGGGACTCCTGCAGCAATTTTTGAAGCAGACAATGGATAGGTAGGCTTCCCAGGAGCAGTATCTGGGGTGGTAACGAGTCAAAGGGCCAGAAGACAGCAGAAAGAGGTCTATGTGTGGAAATGGGCTAGTGAGAGGGCCTAGGGGTGCAAGGGTAGAAGTGCTACCTAATATTCCTTATGTAATGGGTATTAAATTCAGGCACGACAGAAATCAACAGACTACAACAGCACAGGATACTTGCTATTTCGACAGCATGCAGCATATTTCTGCAGCAGGAATGGAGGGCAGCTGCCAACACCCTCTTCAGGAAGGCTCAGCACATCAGTAGCACCTGATTACACCAGCAGGCATACCCATACCCCTACGATAGGAGGGGATAGAAAAGAACGCAGTGAGACGACACTAGATTTTTCTGCATTAACCTTTTAATGCACCCAGCATTAGTGCTGGTAACGAGCAACCCCAAAGACTTCTGCTTCTGGTTTTTCTTCCTCATTTCATATTCCTGCTAGCCTGGAAGCAAGCTAATGCTTGCTCCTTGACCAGGAGCAGCCCATAGCAGCAGTTTTAACTGTCGCTCCTGCCTTTTACCACTTGGAAGCAAGTAGAAGAGCTGGCAGCATGTGACTAGAAAAAGCATATTACCAGCTGCCTTCAAGGGAGAACTCAAGAGCATCTAAGATAATACAGGGAGACTTGCTTCTTATTAATTGCCTACTCCAGGATAGGTGGGCCCCCCCTAAAGAGAAAGGTCGGTGCCACAAAAAGAAAATTGGCTATTTGTCATTTGGAAAATGAACTTGCCCATGCAGTCTGCAGCATCCCTCTACACTGGGTAACAAGTTAGTTTGCAGCTGCATGTTGACGTTTTGGCACCTTCTCCTTGTTTGCTACAGTATTAGGACTCACCACTGGAAAATGGTACCCGAAGGACTCAGGCAGGTGAGGGTGGGTGGCGCTATCCTTGGCCATGCAAGCTGTGGCACAGAGAGGCTCCCATTAACCCTGCCCAGCATATATGTGACCTCAGTAGTGCTGCTGAGGGAGGTTTCCCTCCATGACGCGAGTCCTTACAGAGGATCAAGTCATAGTCCACAGGGTCTGTATCGCTAGGAGGAGTCCACAGCGTGTTTGCAGTGCATTGGCTCCACGAGTCATGTTTGTGAAGAGAACGAGAAGTAGACAGTGGTAGATTCAAATGGAGAACAAGTACAACGAACCGAGGTACCACTGACTTTGGGAACTTTTTTTAGCTTACCTTGCAACAATTTCAACTGACCTCCAAAAGACAGGCACAGAAATATTGAATTTTCAAATAATTTATTTGCATATGTCACCAAATCATAGAAAGCCAATGCACTGTCCAGCAAAAAGCATTCAATATATAAAACACATTAATTCATTATCAGTTATACTGGAATATATTACCTATATTGAACTCATTCAAGCTCCTACTAAAGCCAAAGGAAACATTTTCAGTGACTTCATTAGTAGAAGGACTGGACTTGCAACTTTTATTTGCAGGGTGTTTACAAATGGCTATATTAAAAACGCTAATAAAAGACTTCCCTTTTAATACTGTATCAAAACAATAATTAACAGAACTCCAACTCTGTTTCTGCGAAATTCATGAAATTAATGCTCCAAATCAGCAGTCATTACACTGCAAAGGACCATACAAAGCATGAAAGAGAATATTCAAAATATACCAGGCTCTATCCTCAGCTTCTGTAGACTGACATGGCTCCAGCATGACCCACGAAGCTGAACTATATACACCACCTAAGGATCTGCCCCTCTCCTGCTTTCAACACTTAAGCCAATCATGAAAAGCTGTTCTATTTTGCTCCAAAATATCCATTATACAGGGACTTGTTTAGCAGCATAACATAGTGGTTAATCTAGACTTTTCTAAAGTTTTTCTCAAGTGGCTATAAGAGACAACAGTTCACAAACATATAAGTCACGGGACATACATTTTCAGAGAAACTGAGATGCTTTCAGCCTCCGCACTGAATGTAAGCAGTAAAGATCCATTTCAGGTCTTCGCAGGTGGTACCACACAACGGACAAACCTTTTAAAACTACAGCAAGGGCGTTAACGTGCTCCTTTCACTAATGGCAGGTCTACAGCGATTTGGGAACAGTCCTTCTGTCACCACAAAAGTCATGAGCTGCACTTGGCAACGAGCCAGCTGTGGGGGGTTTTGGGAGCTGCCGGCAATGAGAGCAGAGGCTTTCCGAAGCAACTTGCCCAAACCTTGTGCCACTAATGTTCTGCGGTTTATGAAATTGCATGAGTTGGTTGTGACCAAAAGGGCTGAGCTAAACCCAAAATCAATGTCAGGTCTGCCAGCGCGGGTGCTGCCACGCTGGAGCCCTCGTCTTGGAGCCTGAATGTTGAAATCCCTCATAGCAAACGCAGTTTTCCCTCACTGTTCTTATTCTGATTTATGGCACTCTCCCTTCCCCCTTAGCAGTGCTTGTCTGTCTCTGACAGAAAAAGATTTCAGAAATAAGGCTTGATCAGCTTGATGTCAATAAAACCTTCTTGAAAGTTTACTGGAATTTTTTAGAGAAAAAGCGACACAGGGGAAGGAGATGTCAATGGAACTGTATTTTTTTTTCCCCTTTATAAACCTGCAAAAACCTTTTAACAGTATACTTTAAATCACAGTATATTGATTTCTCAATCGTGCAGCTTGGACTGAGAAACAGCATTATTTTTATTCAGAGAGTGTTTGAGCAATACCACTCGGATGTCATCGATGTGTGCTGGTCATGGACCCCAGCTCAGTCCTCCCCCTCCCTCCCCCTGAAGGACGCTGCTCAGCAAGGGTGTCCTTGAGATTATTTGGCAAAAAGATTGTTTTCAGCATTTAAGGACTGGCTTTTACTAAGGAGATTGTTAGCACCTTCTAAAGTCAAATATTGAGCAGTATTTTAACAACGAGGGTTAAAATCGCTGCAGCAGCCTTGAAAGTGGAAGTGGTTAATTTGTTAAATCAAGATGCAGCATGTTGGAGAAAGGTGTGCTATATTTTAGACACAAATTATTCAGCTTCTCAGTGTCTACAGGGAAAAATAATTCCCTCTGCTGTAGGAACGAGTGGGTGAAAAGCTCTGGACTGTGTCATGTGGAATACCTGCACAGTTGATTTTCAAACATTTTCCTGTCTTACTTTCGTGATCTATGGTCTAATATTTCACTAGTCTAAAACCACCAGGTTCCTTGAGGGAATGCTGGCACCAGTCGTGTGAACCTGTTAAAACAATGTGTCACCAGAATCGGGCCTGGCTTATGTAAAAGGAAAGATCTGGCGTCAGACTGCAAAGAGCACAAGTGATAAAACAGAAAAATGGGGAGACTTTTCTTTTTTCTTTCTTTTTTTTTTTTCCAAAAAGTAAGATTTGCCATAGGAACTGCAATTTCGTTCAAATTCATGAATCCTATTCAGAATCTGTTTACGAAG